AGAGGAGGTTGGCCTTTATAGGCAGAAAAGAGCTGAAGAAAGCAGAAACAGAGAACCACTGCACTCCAAATAATTTAATTGTCGAGTTTGAAAAACAGGATTACTGGTATCCTAGTGGTACTGAAATTTGGAGAATTGGTCTATTTGATTGTTGTCTGTTGTGTTGTTGTTGTTAAGGCTTTAGAGACAGAAAAAATCGGAACAGGAACCCATGATTTTTTATATTATGTATTACCTAAAGAAAAGCAGATTGGTTGTTTCAAAGTTACTTTCCTTATAAGGTTAAAACAGAGGCCAGGCGCAGTGGCTCACACCTGTAATCCCAGCACTCTGGGGGGCCAAGGCGGGCAGATCATCTGAGGTCGGGAGTTTGAGATCAGCCTGACCAATGTGGTGAAACCCCATGTCTACTGAAAATACAAGAATTACCCGGGTGTGGTGGCGCATGTCTGTAATCCCAGCTACTCGGGGGCTGAGGCAGGAGAATCGCTTGAACCAGGGAGGCGGAGGTTGCGGTGAGCTGAGATCGCGCCGTTGGACTCCAGAAAAAACAGAGAAGACTTCCTTATCAAGCTGGCTAAAACCAGCCTGTTTGGGAACTTGGCTGTTAGTTATCTCTTCTGATTTCTTAGGTCATATAAACAACTTGGTTTCCATCTGGTCAGGAGGAATTTTAGTGTGAGTGACTCCATTTTGGTTTGGTCTGTAGAGGCCTAATACAGAAGCTCAATGCAAAACAACGGCTTCCTATATATGTTATTAAACATGTCCTTCCTGAAAATAGACTAAATCTATTGCTGTTTCATAGCTTTATATGATTTTGATGGAATTTGATTGTGAACTAATATAAGAATTTCACATATTTTCAAAAAGCTAGAAAAAAGGATTTTGAATTTTTACATCACAAAGAAATGATAAATGTTTGAGGTGATTGATATACTAATTACCCTGATTTGATCGTTACACATTGTATACACATGCTGAAATATCATTGTGTTCCATAAATATATACAACTATTGGCTGGGCGTGGTGGCTCATGCCTGTAATCCCAGTACCTTGGGAGGCTGCGGTGATTGGATCATTTGAGGTCAGGAGTTCGATGGCAAACATGATTAAACCCTGTCTCTACTAAAAATAAAAAAAATAGCCAGGCGTGGTGGTGGGTGCCTGTAGTCCCAGCTACTTGGGAGGCTGAGGCAGGAGAATCGCTTGAACCTGGGAGGCAGAGGTTGCAGTGAGGCGAGATTGCACCACTGCACTCCAGCCTGGGCAACAGAGCGAGCCAGACTCTGTCTCAAAAATAAATAAATAAACAAACAATTATTATGTGTCAACTAAAAATAAGTTTCAAAAAAATTTTAAAAACACTTTCATTGATGTGCTCCTATCAAGTATTGCCTTGAAGGATGAAAGAATTGATAACCTCCTTCAAAAGGACGTGCCAATTTTTAACACCTTTTAATTTTTATTTCCTTTGAAAAGTCTTTCAAATGTTAAGATTGGTATCAAAAAGAAAAAACGTACATCTGAGCTGCTGGCCCCATGATAGATTTGGTCATGAAAATAATTTAATTGTAGAGTTTGAAAAACAGGATTACTGGTATCCTAGTGATACTGAAATGTGGAGAATTGGTCTATCTGATTGTTGTCCGTTGTGTATACTTGTTAAGGCTTTAGAGATAGAAAAAAATGGAACAGGAACCCATGATTTTTTATATTATGCGTTACTGAAAAAAAAAACTTTTCAGATGTTGTAAAGGTTATGGATGAGTCTGGATATTGTTTTCTGTACCTGATGATGTGACCATCACAGGTCCTTGGAATGAGGTCAGTGAGATATGTGTGCATAGGTAATGAAATTATATGTATTACACATACTTTTGTGTCTTATAAATGAAGAAACTGTTTGTTATTTTCCCAGGGTCAAACAGCTCCCAAAGAGTTCCCACCCCAAGATCTGACTCAGAACTGGTATTTTTTTCTGTTTGGTTCAACCAAAGGTTCTTTGAGTACTATGTGCCAAATACTGTGTTAGGCACTGTAGATAGATAAGAAGATGAATAAGGCATGGCTGTCAACCTGAAGGAGGTTATAGTGTAAAAGAAGATATAACTTAATATAGTGATAAGTATTCTGATAGAGCTGGTACTCTCCTGTACCAATGTTAAGGGAATGCTTTTAGCGTAGTACAATTGTTTAAGAAACCCTCAGAGACAAACCCCCACTTGAAAGATGAATGAGTAAAATAACTTATAAAAGAGGCATATTCTGCTTCTCTTTGAGGCCTCCACGATATACTTTATATGATTCTAAGTTGTAATCATTAGTGTTTACATGTGTTTAGGGATGGCAATATGTAGTAGAACATGTAGTTTGATTATTTTCTAAAGATGTTTTGAATAAAGTCCTTCCTTCCTCACCAACCTCACCACTGCTATATGATAAAAATGTCACCACTGCTATATGATAAAATAGTGGATAAAATGTCCATGGTACAGGGTCACTTCTTTGTTTTCCAGGCCCCCTAGAAAGAAGTTTACCAGGGCAGCTCTAAAGGGTTTTTTAGACCAGGTCCCTTTAAGAAAACCAAGTATCATCAGGGAGAGGCCCTTGGAAAATTTTAAACTGCCACTGTAAACTTTGACTTGGGAGGATAGCTCTTTTTATTTTTTTTTAAGTACTTCTTGCAGAGCATGGCTACCACATAAGCAGTATGTCCAGAGTAGCTGAAGATAACTCTTGACTGCTCCCTCTCTGGGCGAATCCTCACTGCTACTCTGACCTCTGGTCTGCTTTTGCCATTTTATTAATACTATTGGTCAATCACATGTTCATCTGTTCCTCTGTATCCTGACTGAGATCTGCTCTCAACTTTCCCTGTCCTGCTTGCCTGGTTCTTGCCTGGTTCTGATCTGCCAAGGCCTCAGATTTCAATCTCTGACCTGCTGACCTGGACAGTTCATGCCCAACCTCCTGGGTGACAGACACAGCCAGCCTGTCCACCAATACTACCCCAACTTGGCAGCCTCTACCTTGCAGCTAGTCCCAGGCCAGAGCATTGGATCGCTTGGTGATGATGACTTTTTTCACCTTTCTACAACACACATGTATAGGTGGGGAACACCAGCATCTCATGAGGAGGGGGAAAGCCAAGACTAGAAAGAGAAAGAAAAGAAGGGACGCCTTCTAGGGAAGGTCTGGAATGGAGTAAGGGGGATCTTATGTGTTTAAACACAGCCCTCAAATTCAATCCTTCAGTAAATGTTTGAGTGTCTTCAGTGTGTCAGACATTGTGCTGGGTAATGGGAGCATAAGATGAATAAGGAAGCTATTTGAAATTGTAAAAAACAATTGATCGAGAATGAAGCACTTTTTCAGAATGTTTTTATCCCTCTGTTATACTTGTCACATAATTTTATGCTAGGTAAGGAAGTTTTCATGGACTAATCTCTTGGTATTATCCTAAATGAGCTTCTAAGGTTATTGTACCCAAAATATTGTTTATAGGTTGAAGTTGAGTTATAGTTACTGACATGTGAATTTAGTCAATGACTAAGTCTTATGTTTATTGACTGTATCAAAACAGAAGGAATGATTTCGTATGCTTGGCCAATACTCTCGTATTCTAGAATTGAGACTGTCAGGAAAATGATGAAGTTTGCCAAACATTGCTTTTAGTTTGTTAAAAAAGAGACTGTTGATGTTTTGGGAGTCTTTACTCTCAGTGTGACCTGGTCATTAGGAAACATTGGTCACAGTTGGATAGCAAAGAGAAAATCTTTTTTTAAAGACGGAGTCTCTGTTGTCCAGGCTGGAGTGCAGTGGCGTGATCTTGGCTCACTGCAACCTCCGCCTCCGGGGTTCAAGCGATTCTCCTGCCTCAGCCTCCTGAGTAGCTAGGTCTATAGGCGCCTGCCACCACGTCTGGCTAATTTTTGTATTTTTAGTAGGGATGGGGTTTCACCATAATTGGCCAGTCTGGTCTCGAACTCCTGACCTTGTGATCCACCTGCCGTGGCCTCCCAAAGTGCTAGGATTATAGGCGTGAGCCACCGCACCTAGCCGCAAAGTGAAAATCTTCTAAGGGCCAAGCAGGTGAATGTGTTGGGGTAATGGTCAGGTGGTGAATACAAGAGTGAGATCTTTACAATAGTATTATATCTGATATTATTTTAAAACCACAACAACGATAGTGCTGTGCTGGCCAAATGAGAGGATGGCAGAATTTATCAATAGCACTCACCTTCTGGATGTTATCCTGGATAGCAGGCTACCCTCTTGGGAAAATTGATTGGGAGAACTGATATACTGTTATGCAAAAAAGGGCAACAGAAAATGGTGCTGTTAACAATGATCACCAAAATGTAGTCAGTACTTAGTGTGTGAAATTCTCCTCTTATCCTTTTCTTTAGAATTAGAAAAGGTCAATGACATGTTCAACATTTATTCTAAAAAAATAAAATAAGCATGTGTTATATAGGTCATTCACCTACAGATTGATGAACATTGATTTGGACATGTCTTTAGGGACAAAAACAGAAAAAAACAAACAAAAACCAGTCTATTAATTTCTTGTATTACCTGAAGAAAAAGTTTGAGTTAACCACATAAAATCTCCATTCCATATTTGTAGTCTCAAAGATAGGGTCTGGGCAGTAAGTCAAAGCAATGCTCTGGAAACATTGTGAGTAGCTAGAACAACTCTTGAGTTCTTACCAAGTATGCACAACGTAGTATGTGCTACTGGGAAAAATCTCACTAGAGCTTATTTAAAACATAATTGTTTGATAATACGGAATTCAACTCAGAATCAGATATGAATCAAATCAGAGTCAGGTATGGTGAGGGATAAATAAATGGAAAAACTCATTGTAGCAGCAAGAAAAGCTTGGCAAAATCAACTCCTCTAAAGGACAAAATTGTTTCTTGATTATAGAGATTTTGTTATTTAGCAAGTATTATTTCTCTTATCTGTTATCTTTTCATAATTCTGTTTCAGGGTCTAATGGCGATTGATTGTCCACATACTGGCATTGTGGACTATCGGCAGGTGGCTTTGTCATTTGCCCAGGATTTCCAAGAAGCAGGTGGCTCTGTCTTGACTAATTTTGAAGTAAAAGATATTGAAATGGCTAAAGAAAGTCCTTCAAGAAGTATAGATGGTAAGCTATCCTTGTCTTTTCTATTGAAAAGATCAGCCCTCCATATCCATGGGTTCTGCGTCTGTGGTTTTAATCAACCGAGGATGAAAAATATTTGGGAAAAAAAAAATAACAGTAGAACAATACATAATACAAATAAAAAATGTAGTATAACAAAAAATAGCCTTTACATTGCGTTAGGTATTGTAAGTAATCTAGAAATTATCTAAAATATCCAGAGTCTGTGCACAGGTTATATGCAAATGTTATATGCATTTTATATAAGGGACTTAAGTATCCTTGAATTGTGGTATTTGTGGGGTTCCTGCCACCAATCCTCCTTGGATACTAAGGAATAGCTGTACTTACAGTGATTTTTTTTTTTAATTGGGATATTTTTGGGGTTAGTACTGGTGGGAGAGCCACAAGGAGCTAGGCTAGAGTATGGTGCAGAACCAGAGGTAGGGGCAGAAGGGACAAGGATGAGACTGAATGTGAGAGAACTGGGACTCCTGGAGGGTCTTGTGCTGGTAGAACCAGACCCTGGTCCGACACTTCTGACTGGTGCTAAAATCTGAACTGCCAAGGCTGTTTATGGAAAATTCGTCTCCAAACACTTCCCTACCCTGTAGGTTAGAGTCAGCATCTCTTGACAATGCTTGTTAAAAATGCATTTTTTTCTCCTTGGGGCAGAGTCTTGCTCTGTCGCCTAGGCTGGAGTGCGGTGGCGTGATCCCCGCGCACTATAACCTTTGCCTCCCAGGCTCAAGTGATCCTCCCACCTGAGCTGTCCGAATAGCTGAAACTACAGGTGCTTGCCACCACCACACCTGGCTAATTTTTGTATTTTTCCTTTTTTTTTAAATTTTAATTTTTATAGAGATGAGGTCTCACTGTGTTGCCCAGGCTGGTATCGAACTCCCGAGCTCAAGTGATTTTCCCTCCTCGGCCTCCCAAAGTGCTAGGATTACAAGTGTGAGCCATCGTGCCCGTCCCAATTTTGTATTTTTTGTAGAGACAGGGTTCTACCACGTTCCCTATGCTGCTCTTAAACTCCTGGACTCAAGTGATCCATCCACTTGACCTCCCAAAGTGCTAGGATTACAGGTGTGAGCCACTGTGCCTGGCCAATAGCTAACATTTATTAAGCACTTAGTGCTTTCCAAGTATTAACTCATTTGACTCTTAAAATTTTCTGTGGCAGGCTACCATTATTACTCACATTTTTTTAGGGTGAGAAAACTGAGGCACAGAGAGAGTAAGAAACTTGGCCATGGTTGTAAGTGGTGGAGTCTGGATTTCAACTCAGACAGTCTGTACCTAAAGCCCACATAGTTAATTACTGAACTATATTGGACCCACACCATGTTCCCCACAAGCTGAATAATGAGCAAGAATTTCAGATTAACAAAGATGTCAGGTGGAAAGCTTCACTGGTTTAAATGAAGACAGAAGAGTTTGAGAAATTGGTGGTTAGAATGAAGGAAAAAGACTGGCTGTGAAGCACAACAGGAAGGTGGAAGCTAAGAGGCTGGACTAGGAAAGTAGGATACCAAGGTAATTGCAGAGGGGAGGTCTAGGAAAGGGTTTCTTAATTCTGACGCTATTGATATTGGGGCCATTGATATTGGGGCCAGATCATTCTTTGTTGTAGGGGGCTATCGGTGCACTATAGGATGTTTTGCAGTATCCCTGGCTTCTGTCCACTGGATGCCAGTACCATCATGCCCCCAAGTGATTACAATTAAAAATGTCTCTAGGCCAGGCACAGTGGCTCACGCCTGTAATCCCAGCACTTTGGGAGGCCGAGGTGGGCGGATCATGAGGTCAAGAGATCAAGGCCATCCTAGCCAACATGGTGAAACCCCATCTCTACTAAAAATACAAAAAATTAGCTGGGTGTGGTGGCTTACGCCTGTAGTCCCAGCTACTCAGGAGGCTGAGGCAGGAGAATCACTTTAACCCGGGAGGCGGAGGTTACGGTGAGCCAAGATCACGCCACTGCACTCCAGCCTGGGCGACAGAGGAAGACTCTGTGACAAAAAAAAAAAAAAAAAAAAAAAGGGTGTCTCTAAACGTTGGCAAATGTTCCCTCAGAGTTAGGGGTGAAGGAGTCACTCCTGGTTGAGAACCATTGCTCTAGACTTACAGTTAGACTAGTTTGAACAACCAGGAATAGAAATAAACCAGTAGACTAAAAAAAGGACAAAGAACCATAAACTGAAGAATTTTGAAAGTTCCTATAAAACCAGAATTTTATAACTATGAATGATAATTTATTTTTATTTTATTTTATTGATTTTATTGATTTTTTTTTTGAGGCAGAATTTCACTCTTGTTACCCAGGCTGGAGTGCAATGGGATAATCTTGGCTCACTGCAAACTCTGCCTCCTGGGTTCAGGCGATTCTCCTGCCTCAGCCTCCTAAGTAACTGGGATTACAAATATGTGCCACCCCATCCGGCTAATTTTGTATTTTTAGTAAAGACATGGTTTCACCATGTTGGCCAGGCTGGTCTTAAACTCTTGACCTCAGGTGATCTTCCTGCCTCAGCCTCCCAAAGTGCTGGGATTACAGGTGTGAGCCACCACACCCAGCTTGAATGATAATTTGTTATACTCCTGGAAAGGAGAGAAAAAATTTTCATATGACGTGACATTTCCTTTTTGGCTTGTCTATATATATCAACATGTAAATTAGTCTTCCAGTGTGCTAGACTTTACCACTCCTAAGGAACATATACCATTCTGGAGAATTTTTTTTTTTCCTTTTTTTCTCCCTTAGAAGTCTGGACAGCAAATCTAATTGTGAAGTTAAAATTTTCAGAAGTACTTTGAGAGGCCAAGGAAGGAGGATCACTTGAGGCCAGGAGTTTAAGACCAGCCTGGGCAACATACCGAGACCTGTCTCTACAAAAAATTTTAAAAAATTCCCTGGGCATGGTAGCACACACCTGTACTTCCAGCTACTTAGGAGGCTGAGGCAGGAGGATTGCTTGAGCACAGGAGTTTGAGGCTGCAGTGAGCTATAATCGCATCACTGCACTGCAGCCAGGGCAACACAGTGAGACCTTGTCTCAAAAAAAAAAATTTTTTTTTTTAGGACTGAGGGCAGTGGCTCACGCCTGTAATCCGAGCACTTTGGGAGGCCAAAGTGGGTGGATCGTTTGAGCTCAGGAGTTCAAGACCAACCTGGGCAACGTGGTGAGACCCCATCTTTACTAAACATAAAAAAATTTGTTTTAATTAAATAAAATAATTTTTTTTTAATTCGCAAAATCCTATGGGACTCAGATGTCCAGTTTACCGGTATAACTATTCAGGTTCTGTATCTCTAAATGGCAAATGTAGTCAGTAGGAAAATTGGCAAACCTTGTGTCTCTGTGAAGAGTACAGGACTGAATTGATCCTTTTGTTGACAGCTGTAAATATGTCTGTATAAAGCAGTGACCTGGGAGGCATGGTGGCTCATGCCTGTAATCCCACAGTTTGGGAGGCCGAGGTGGGTGGATCACCTGAGGTCAGGAGTTCCAGACCAGCTTGGTCAACATGGTAAAAGCCCGTCTCTACTAAAAATACAAAAATTAACTGGGTGTAGTGATGCGTGCCTGTAACCCAGCTACTCCGGAGGCTGAGGCAGGAGAATTGCTGGAATCTGGTAGGTAGAGGCTGCAGTGAGCTGAGATTGCACCAGTGCACTGCACTCCAGCCTGTGCAACAGAGTGAGACTCTGTCTCAAAAAAAAAAAAAAAAAAAGCAGTGACCGATGTGGCTCAGTCTTAGAGAGGTGTCAGTACCACCAAGGAGTAATTTCAAAAGAACTCTTTTGCTTGTATATTTCTTTTGCTTTTTTTCTTCTTTCAAGACGGCGTCTCACGCTATTGCCTAGGCTGGAGTGCAATGGCGCGATCTTGGCTCACTCCAACCTTCGCCTCTCAGGTTCAAGTGATTCTCCTGCCTCAGCCTCCTGAGTAGCTGGAAATACAGGCATGCATCACCATGCCCAGCTAATTTTGTGTTTTTAGTAGAGATGGGGTTTCATCATGTTGATCAGGCTGGTCTCAAACTCCTGACCTCAGGTGATCCACCCACCTCAGCCTCCCAAAGTTCCAGGGTTACAGGAGTGAGCCACTGTGCTCAGCCTGCTTGTGTATTTCGAGAACCATGAAAGGGATCCAAGCTATCTTTTTAAATATCCTTTTTCTTCTCTTCTTCCTTCCTTCCTTCTTCTTCTTCTTCTTCTTCTTCTTCTTTTAATTATAAAAAGAGACAAGGTCTCACTATGTTGTCCATGCTTGTCTTGAACCCCTAAGCTCAAACGACCTGCCCACCTTGGCCTCCCAAAATACTGGGATTCCAGGCATGAGCCACCGTGCCTGGCCCAAAATGTAAATGTTAGCATCACCCAGACTTACTGAATCAGACTGTGTGGAAATAGCACCTAGTAATAAGCTTTTAGTGATTTTTAGACACACCCAAGTTTCAGAATGTCAGAATGACAGCCTAAGGTCATAAAATGACCTGGTCATTTGGAACTCCCCCCACCTCATGCCCAGCCCCCACACAGTTTAAGAGTGCAATTAGGCTCGGGCTCCAGCATGGCGACCGCGGCGCGTGTTGTGGGCCGGCTGCCCGCGCTGTGTAGCGGGACGGCAGGTCATTTATTGGGGAGGCAGCGTTCCCTAAGCACCTTACCAGCAGCTTCCATTTTGGTGTGGAAGAGTGCTCTGAGCAATGGCTGTTTGTCATCACTGGGAACCAGAGACACCCATCCCTACGCCAGCTTGAGCCACGCGCTGCAGACACAATGCTGTGTTTCTTCTCCCAGTCACCTGATGGGCCAGCAATATAGACCATATAGTTTCTTCACTAAATTGACTGCAGATGAGCTGTGGAAAGGCGCTTTAGCGGAGAGTGGTGCCGGATCAAGAAAAGGAAGAGGCAAAAGAACTAAAAAGAGGAAAAGAAAGGATCTGAACAGGGGTCAGATCATTGGGAAGGGCATTACGGTTTTCTGTGGCCTGGTCTGAATGTCCCTCTTATGAAAAATGGAGCAGTGCAGACCATCGCCCAAAGAAGCAAGGAAGAGCAGAAGAAGATGGAGGCCGACATGATCCAGCAGAGAGAAGAGTGGGACCGAAAGAGGAAGATAAAGGTTAAACGCGAGCGAGGATGGAGTGGAAACTCCTGGGGAGGCGTCAGTCTTGGCCCCCCTGACCCTGGCCCCAATGGAGGTAAGAAATGTTTTCAATATGACAGCGAAAGAGGGAAGAAAGAAATGGGTCCGTGTCCTGGTGGCTGTGGGGAACGGAAAAGGAGCTGCAGGTTTTGCTATTGGGAAAGCCACTGATCGGATGGACGCTTTCAGGAGAGCAAAGAACAGAGCAGTTCACTGTTTGCATTATATAGAACGATATGAAGACCATACAATATTCCATGATATTTCATTAAGATTTAAAAGGACGCGTATCAGGATGAAGAAACAACCCAAAGGTTACGGCCTCCACTGCCACAGAGCCATCATCACCATCTGCCGGCTCATTGGCATCAAAGACATGTACGCCAAGGTCTCTGGGTCTGTTAATATGATCAGCCTCACCCGGGGCCTCTTCCATGGGCTCTCCAGACAGGAAACCCATCAGCAGCTGGCTGATAAGAAGGGTCTCCATGTTGTGGAAATCCGGGAGGAGTGTGGCCCTCTGCCCATTGTGGTGGCCTCCCCCCGGGGGGCCCTGAGGAAGGATCCGGAGCCAGAAGAGGATGTTCCAGACATCAAACTGGACTGGCAAGACGTGAAGGCCGCGCAGGGGATGAAGCGCTCTGTGTGGGCTAATTTGAAGAGAGCCGCCACGTAAGCTCTCTGGCCTTGTGCAGCCAGTTCCTGTACCTCGGAGAGACCAGGAGAGACTCAGCCCCTCACAGCTTGGGGCGTGGCCTTGGTTTTTGTTTGTTTTGAGGAAAGTTTAATCTGTAAACTCTTCAGAAATAATTAACAGCTTTAAAAAAAAAAAAAAAAAAAAGAGTGCAATTAAGAGTTTGTCTTGTTTTGCTTTGAGGGCATTAATATTTTTTTTGTCCAAATGATAGATTTTTGAGGCTTCTATTTGCTGTTGAGAAATTTGAAGGAGAAAAAAAGTAGTGTTCTGTTCTTTCTTCCTTGACAGGTTTTTAAGGAGACCTAAGCCATCTGAATCATTCTGTCTTTCTGAATTCTAAAATGATGAGCAAAATTGTTAAATAATTAAAGTTTTTTTAGGTAGGTAGCATAATAAACCAAATTCATGGTACAAGTAGATTATATTTATCTGCTCTATGTATGCTTTATAAAACTTTGAGATCCCGTGTATCTGAGTGGGAACTAATTTTAAAAATGGTCAGTTTTTTATTGGAAGTTTTTGTGTTGGGAGAACTCTTGCTTCTCTAAACAATGTAGAACCTGCAAAGAATCCAGTAACCAACACGTGGATGGCAAGGTTTCTCATATCATAGCTTTAGTTCTGTGGGAAAATACATACTGGTTTATGATGATCCATTATACAGTGTGGTTTCCAGGATTATAGTAGCTATGTCTATGTTGGAGGTCAGGTGGGGTATGGTTTATAAGCATAGATTAGATGAGTTAAAACCAAGCTAAAAACATGCTGGAGTTTTATATGTTATTAAGTATGAACTAGTTTCATTGTGATTTGGTAAAAAGTTTCAGAATGAACTGTAGGGTACAATCATAGTAATGACAGAAAAAAAGTTATTTAAGTTTGTTGCTAGTGTAATATTTCAAATAATATTGGCCTTTTGCTAAAAATAAATTTTTTACTTTTTTTTTTCAGGAATGCAATATCCGATTGTTATAAAGAATACAAAGGTAAAGATTCTTAAGCAAAACTGCTGGCTACTTTATTTCCCTCCCCTTTATTAAAAATTAAATTAACCCACAGGGCTGTATTTTAAGTTATTGAATGGCATTTATCTAATGTAAAAGTAATTCTGAGAGAATTTCTTTTAGGGAGGTTTAACAGTTTTTATTCTAAGGAGAGTTTCAACTTGGGAATGTCCTAATTAAGTGACTGTGCTGGCAAAGAACAGGATTATAAGCATATGGAGTGTTTAATTTTAAGGCAAAACTGATAGATATTTTATCACTCTGCCTACTGATCTCCACTAACTTATTAACTCTCTATAAATTAGAAGACTTCGGTAGAGGGAGTACACAGGTTTTCCAGAGGGAGATGGACTGCTTTTTTTCATCTTCACATAGACCTAAAGCAAGAACCACTGAATGGCATAGAAGCAGTGGATTCCCTGTAGGTTCACTGCATCAGGTTGTAGTCAAGGGAGCAGAGTCATTAATGAGTGCTCTAGGATTTATTATAGAATAAGACCTTACGCAATTGTGGAAGTTTCTGGGAAAGTGTAGATTCAGAAGAGAGTTGATGGATCAGTAATTGGGAAACAGAGCTGAATATGGAGCTGGAATTCACTGGACAGTGGGTATCTGTCTGTCACCTCTTTGGACTAGGATGACCTTCAGAGAATAATACCTGCTGATTTATTTCTGCTGCCAGATTATTATTATTATTATTATTATTTTTTTGAGATGGAGTCTCACTCTGTCACCCCAACTGGAGTCCAGTGGCGCAATCTCGGCTCACTGCTAGCTCCGCCTCCCGGGTTCACACCATTCTCCTGCCTCAGCCTCCCAAGTAGCTGGGACTACAGGCACCCGCCTCCACGCCCAGCTAATTTTTTGTATTTTTAGTAGAGACAGGCGTTCACCATGTTAACCAGGATGGTCTCGATTTCCTGACCTTGTGATCCGCCCACCTCGGCCTCCCAAAGTGCTGGGATTACGGGTGTGAGCCACCGCGCCCGACCCTCTGCCACCAGATTATATGCAGCTCCTGTTTTGACCAACTTTAAGTTGGAACCATGAAGAGAAGGGGATTCTGTCAAGCATAGTTCCTAGCTTAACCAAATGGACACAGTACAAACCCCTACAGTCTACCCTTTGTCAACCTGACATCTGTCCACGCCCCTTATAACCTTATAATGATATTTAGCTTCCAAATAAAGACAGAAGTAAAAGTATGCTTCCACCTAACAAGGTGTAACTATCTTTCATAGGACTGAAGACATGCTAACTAACTCTCAAAAAAACAAACAAACAAAAACAAAAAAAACAAAGTCTACTTTATCCCTCCTGGGTTATGTTTAATTTTTACTAGCTGAGTTACACTCCCGCTTTGAGATCCTGTAACTTAAATACCAAGATATAAGGTTAACCACTATTTAAGCATTTTGTATTAGATAAGTAGTTCTCAACTAGAGGCAGTTTACTTCTCAGGGAACATTTGGCAATGTTTGGAGACATTTTTGATTGTCACAACTGGGAGAGGGGAGGGGCACAGCAACTGGGATTTGGTAGGTAGATACCAGGAATGTTGCTAAACATCCTTCAGTATGGGGAATAGGCCCCCAAAACAAAGAAATGTCTATCCCCCAAAGTCAGTAGTACTGAGGTTGAGAAACCCTGTGTTAGATAATGTGGAAATGGTAGAGATGAGTATATTAGTCTTCTCAGACTTCCATAACAAAATAGCACAAACTGGGTGGCCTAAAAAGCCCACAGTTCTGGAGGCTAAAAGTTCAAGATTAAGGTGCTGGTAGGGTTGATTTTTGGCTTGTTAATGGCTGCCTTCTTACTATGTCCTCACATGGCCTCTTCTCTGTGTGCGCCCAGAAAGAGAGAGCATGATCTTGGGTATCTCTTCCTCTTGTAAGGACACCAGTGCTATTGGATTAGCCCCTACCCTTATGACCTAATTTAACCTTAGTTACCTCCCTAAAAGCCCTGTCTCCACATAAAATTCACATTAAGGGTTGGGACTTCAATGTATGAATTGGGGTGTGGGGGGGGCACAATTCAGTCTATAGCAATGGGAATAAATAAAGAATTAGGTAATGTATGGAGAAATGTATTTATTATTTTAAAGTAAGATATACTCAGATTATAACATCCCTCATTTCTGTAACTAGTCATGTGGCCATAGCCAATATTTATGATATCCTTCCCCTACTATGCATTTCATATTCTCTTTGCCGTTGGCAAGCATCTTAGCTGGTCATGATTTCTAGTTTGGTGGTGTAGCTCACACTTTCATTCCTGAAGTCTATGCCATTAGCAGCCCTGGCTGTTTTGGGTTGAGGTAGTTTCCAATAACTCTTATAACAGTATATGGGAATACTAAGAGAAGCTTCAGGAGATATGTATTCCAGACATATTCCTTTTTATCATCCCCAAGACTAGTTGTGGTAGCAACTCATTTTCTTGAGAGTCAAGATTAGTTATCCAATTCAATACAGCAATCCCCTCTTTGATTTACTGGCAAGGGAACCCAAAGTGGCCAGGTGTTGCAGTATCAACCTCCAGTTTAATGGAACCACTGTCATTCTCTAGTAGAAGTACTTCTCCCTTGGGAACTAAGACCTCTAGATCATAAGACCAAAGTTGTGAGGACAGAATGCAAACATTTCATGTAGTGGATGATTGGGGTAATAGTAAGGAACCACCCTCATTTCTACCTCAATTTCCAGACCTGTGAATTCTGGCTGTGGGACAAACAATACCATGTATTAGTCACTGATTTAGAGCACGTAGAGCATCCTGGAGGAAATTACCCCAGCCCTTCAAGGAGTTGCCAGCCAGCTAGTGCTATTACGTCTAAAGCCCATTCCAGTTTCTGTCACCCAGTGGCTTCAGGGTGATGGGGAAAATGGTAAAATCAGTGAATTCCATGATCCTGAGCCTATAGCTGCATTTCATTTGCTGCAGAGTAAGTTCACTGATCAGAAGTAATGAATCTCTGTAAAATACCATGATGGTGAATAAGACATCTCATAAGTTCACACATGGTGGCTTTGGCAGAAGCATTATAGGCAGGGAAGACAAATTTATATTCCGAGCAAGTGTCTATGCAAGTGAGAAAAAAGTGCTGCATTTTCTATGATGGAAGTGGTCCAGGGACCATATCAGTGGCTCTTTTGGTCTCTACTATGGCCGATTGAGCACTCAGCATTAGCTGTAGACAGATCAGCAGTGGTGAATAAGTCCATGTTGCCGATCACCTCCAACCTTGCTACCATAACTATGTTTTCCAGCTTTATGTTTACATTGTGAAATGATTATCACAATCAAGTTATTTGATATCACATCTGCCACCTCACATAGTTACCATTTATGTGTATGTGATGAGAACACTTAGATTTGCTATCTTAGCAAATTTCAAGTATACCATACAGTATTATTACCTATAGTCACCATGCTGTATATTAGATTTCTAGAATTTATTCATCCTATAATTGAAAGTTTGTACCCTTTGACTAATATCATCCCATTCCTGCCCACCTCCTCCCAGTCTGTAGCAACCATCATTGTACTCTCTTTTTCTATGAATACAACTATTTTAGATCCCATATGTAAATGAGATTGTACAGTATTTGTCTTTCACTGTCTGGCTTATTTCACTTAGCACAGTATCTTCCAGGCCCACCCATGTTGTCACAAATGGCAGAATTTCCTCCTTTTTTATGGCTGAATAGTATTGCATTGTATGTATATACACACACATATATATATACACACACACATATATATACACACACACACATATATATATATATCACATTTTCTTTATCCATTCATCTGTCAATGGACACTTAAGGTTGTTCTCATGTCTTGGCTGTTGTGAATAATGCTGCAATGAACATGAGAATGCGGATATCTCCTTGAGGTACTGATTTTGTTTTATTTGGGTATATACCCAGAGGAAATCATATGGTAGTTCTATTTTTAATTTGGATCTTATGGTAGTTCTATTTTTAATTTTTTGAGGAATGTGCATACCGTTTCCTGTGATGGCTGTCCAATTTACATTCCCATCGATAGGGCACCCTACATCCTCACCAATGTTTGTTTTCTTTTGTCTTTTTGATAATAGCCATCCTAACAGATGTGAGATTATATCTTATTGTGGTTTTGATTTTCCTGATGATTAGTGATTTGGATGCCTTTACATGTATCTGTTGGCTATCTGTATATCTTTGAAAAAAATACATAAAAATACATATTCAGGTCCTTTGCCCTCCCCACCTCTGGCCATTTTTTTTTTTTTTTTTGAGACAGGGTCTCTGTCACCCAGGCTGAAGTCCAGTGGCATGACCATGGCTCACTGCAGCCTCAAACTCCTGGGCTCAAGCTGTCCTGCCTCAACCTCCAAAGTAGCTGGTATTATAGGCACGTGCTGCCATGCCCGGCTTCTTTGCCCATTTTTATTTATTTTATTGTATCTATTATTATTATTATTTTTTGAGATGGAGTTTCGCTCTTGTTGCCCAGGCTGGAGTGCAGTGGCACGATCTTGGCTCACCTCAACCTCTGCCTCCCGTGTTCAAGTGATTCTCTTGTCTCAGCCTCCTGAGTAGCTGGGATTACAGGCATGCGCCACCACACCTGGCTAATTTTGTATTTTTAGTAGAAATGGGGTTTCTCCATGTTGGTCAGGCTGGTCTCGAACTCCTGACCTCAGGTGATCCACCCGCCTTGGCATCCCAAAGTGCTGGGATTACAGGCGTGAGCCCCCGTGCCTGGCCTTTCTTTGCTAATTTTTTAATCAGCTCATTTGTTATTTTGCTCTTGAATTATATGAATTTCTTACATTTTTTTGGATATTAACCTATTATCAGATATATTTTCTCCAATTCTGTAGGTTGTCTCTTCATTTCTTTTACTGTGCAGAAGCTTTTTAGTTTGATATAGTCACATTTGTTTAGTTTTGCTTTTGTGCCTGTGCTTTTGGTGCCTTATTAAAAAAAAAAAAAAATCATTCCTAATACCAATGTCTTCCCTATGTTTTCTTCCGGGAGTCTTAGTTTTTAATCTAAAATCTTTAATCTTTTAATCTAAATATTTAATCTAGTTCAAGTTAATTTTTGTGAATGGTGTAAAATAGGAGTCCAATTTCATTCTTTTGCATGGGGCTATCCAGTTTTCCCAGCACCATTTATGGAGACTATCTTTACACCTAATCATGTAGTTCATGAGATGGGTGCCTGGAGAAAGAGGCTAACTAACATCCACAGAGCAGGTCATTTTTTTCTACTGATTATTAAAATTGTCCTTGGCCAAGATTTCTCTTCAGTGAGCATTCATATGGAACTTGAATATCTTTACTCTCTGAAACTGTCTTGAAGTGGTCCATTCATACACCTTTCTCCACAGGTTGTTTCCTGTCCATCTAGCCAAACCATTAGTTGTTGCACATGAAACAGTGTAGATCCATACCTTTGGCCATCTGTCCTTCTAAAATAAGATGAACAACTAGATGTGGTGTTCAGAGATCTGCCCACTGAGAATATTTTCTTCACCACAGTCATTCAGGGCCACTCATGAGTGGGGCTCTGGTGCTGTGGCTGTTCAGTTGTGTGTGGTACCAGCATGTTGTGCAGAACCATTTCTAAACCTGGCCTATATTTTTTCTTCTTAGGTCAACTGGTCATAGAGAACTCCCTGTGGGGCTATAGAGGCAGGTTGATAGGAAGGAGGCAATTTAGCAGGCATAGGGGCCATGGGAATTTGAACCACTTGCCTCTGCAACTTATGTGTGCCAGCAGGACCTGTACAACCCTATCTTACAATTTTCCTTGATGATGGAATGCTGCTATATACACCCAATGTTGTGGCTTGATGAGTCAGACACCACCACCCAGTTAATAATGGGTAGTTCATATGGTAACTTAGTGACCTGTGGTCAAGTGTTCAGTCAAAGCCAGAAGCACTTTCTCAAAAGGAGGTTAGTTATGTGCAGAGGGTGGTATAACTTTCCTCCAAAAACCGTGAAGTTCTGTGCTGTGATTTGCCCACATATGCCTTCCAAAGGCTCCATAAAGTATGACTATCTGCTGCAGACAGTTCGATTACCATCAGAGTTTCTGGGTCATGTGACCCAAGTGGCAGGCTTTCCATTCAAAGAAGAATTGAAAATCTGTTTCTGTGCCTGCCCTCATCTAAGGGACATTTTCACTACAGTATAGCATCATATGATAGAATATACACAGGGGCCTATGGCATACCAGTGGATATATACTTTACCCAGAGTTGCCGCTCTTTATTTTGGCATTTTCAGTAAGTATAATTTTGGGGTTCAAATTCAAATTGAGCGGTCCACTTACCAGGTTGAAATAGTTTTATGAAAAGTTAAAAGAAATTTTGTCTTTTTGAGACAATCTCACTCTGTTGCCCAGGCTGGAGTGCAGAGGCATGCTCTTGGCTCACTGTAACCTCCGCCTCCCAGATTCAAGTGATTGTTGTGCCTCAGCCACATGAGTAGCTGGGATTACAGGTGTGTCTCACCATGCCTGGTTAATTTTTGTATTTTTAGTAGAGACAGGGTTTCACCATGTTGACCAGGCTGGTCTTGAACTCCTGGCCCCAAGTGATTCACCCACCTCAGCCTCCCAGAGTGCTGGAATTACAGGTGTGAGCCACTGCGCCTGGCCAGGGATTTTTAAAATAAATTTTTGCAGGTAGGATTTGCTAATTAAAGATTTATACATTGGATATTGTGGGGGTGTGGAGAAATCTGCTTCACTTATGAAAGAGCAATAGACATACATGGTTTATTTCTTCTTCTTCTTTTTAATTTCTTTTTTTTTTTTTTTTTTTGATTAGAGACTTTATCTCTAATAAAACATAGGGAGACAAAGTCTCCCTGTGTTGCCCAGGCTGGTCTTGAACTCCTGGGCTCAAATGATCCTCCCACTTTGGCCTCCCAAAATGTTGGGACTACAGGCATGAGCCACTGTGCCCAGCCTAAAAGAAATTTATGTTGAACAGATGTATCATTTAATGGTTACCTAAATTTTAATTTGGAAGTAAAATTAATATGTTACTGAGTTTAATTATTGTTTAACATATAGCATAAAATGATTTCAGAAATCTGTGATAGTTTTTGATAATTTTCTTGGGAACTGTTGCTTGAGTTTTTAAAGAGAATTATTAGGTTATTGCATGCTGGTACCATTTTATAAATTCTGTTACTATCTTTACATCTATCATAAGACTTATCTGCATTTTTTTGTTCCAAGAACAAAAGAACTGCCAATCTTTTATGTAGGAGCTGATGATTTATGTCACAAAAATACCTCTCGTATTTCTAGAATATAACTCTAGATGAACAGGAAAGATATTAACCTATTTAGAAAAAGGTATTTTTGGCTGGGTGCGGTGGCTCACACCTGTAGTCCCAGCTGTTTGCTTAGGCAAGAGAATCACTTGAACACAGGAGGTTGAGGCTGTAGTGAGCCAGGACTGCGCCATCGCACTCCAGCCTGGGTGACAGAGCAAGACCTTGACAGCCCTTTGGACTTCAAAGGTCTTAAAACAATCATGGCTTAGTCTAGCTAATTTGAATTCTTTGTGGAGAAGTTTCATCTAATTTTTCTAAAAACGATGACATGTATAACTCCTGAAAAGAGGCTTAACTTTCTAGCAAGGGCAAAAATAGGATACATACAGAGGTGGAAATTTAGCTCAATAGAGTAAGGCTAAACAGTAAGGCCTGGAAAGAAAGAAAATGTTGAGACAGGTGAGAACTCTGAGGCTTCAAAAATAGGTCATCTGGGAAGAAGATCTAAGAGTAAGAACAGAATTGCTAGGTGTTTACTCTGTTAGAAGTAAAGAGATGGGAATTCGAGTGTGGTGGTGAATGATAAATGAAGTCATTTAGGAAATAGGGTGGCAAATTGGCCAAACTTGGTGAGTAAAGTTAAAAATGAGCAGATGATAATCACAAAATAAAATTTATAGGAAATCATAACAGCCTAACATTAGCAGTCTCCTAGGCACTAAAGCAAACCTTGAATGTAGTGTGTGCTCTCAGTAAATGTGCATTGAATGAATGAGATTTCTAAAGTGTCCTCAGTTTGCAAAGTAGATATTGGTTAGGAAGGAGAAATTGCTTGGTGGGTAGATTACAGTTGCAACTGGGCAGGATTATTGAGTGTGAGGCAACCGAAGAGTAACACAGTAATTGCTCAGATACAGGAGAAGCTGGTTGCTATACAGAGGTTGCCTTTAAATGAGAGGGTTACAGGCCCTGTGACTTCAGTGCCAGAGATGTTATGGATATAATTATCAATAGGTAACAACTTTATTTTTAAAAATTCTTTTATATGCTTACATTTTTAATGTAGGAAGTTTTGTCTTTCTTGATATTCTACTAATTGGGTAAATCCTCGTATTTGTGATTGGTATATTGAATTTTTAATTAATCCAAATTAAAAGCTGTGGGGTGGGTGGGGGAGCAAAAAAAAATTGGTGGAGGGTATCTAAATGACATTTGCTTCTTCATGCAACAAATAGTTAAGAAGCTCCCCACTAGGTCCTAATAAACAGATTTGTATGTATTTGTGTGCATGCATGTATACCTTACTACGTATCCTTGCTGGGTTGACCATTATTATCTTTAAAGTACAAAATTTAAGGTGACATCCTCTTACATGCCACTGTCCTCAGTTTCTAGCTGCCACCTAAATGCTAAAGAATATATTTTGCTGATACCTGTATTGAATATCCTCTTTTAGAAAAAATTCTATTTCTGTACCTTGTTTTCTTTTCTATCACCTGTTTTTCCCCTCTTGACCTAGTCTACTCCACTCTATACAAATAACTATTATTTTATTTTGCACTAGGGAGAGGAAATTCGATGTCAGTATGTTGTGACATGTGCAGGACTTTACTCAGACCGTATTTCAGAGTTGAGTGGCTGCACTCCTGATCCTCGAATTGTACCATTCCGGGGAGATTACCTGCTCTTGAAGCCGGAAAAATGTTATCTTGTAAAAGGAAATATTTATCCGGTAGGTAATGATGCTTCCTACTTCTAATTTTTTTCAAGCAGGTGGTGGTCATAAAGGAGATGAAAACAACTTTCACTTGGGTCAGAAATAAGAGCGATTTTGAAGGACCATTTGTGTAAGCATTTCATCAGTTTCTCTTGCGGTTAAATCCCTAAATCTTTATCCTGGTATCATGGTTATTAAATTGTAATTAATTGCCTGCAGGTACATGTCTCCAGAAAGCATGAGTGCACTATGGGAAGTGCTATCAGGAAGGAACTGAATTCTTCCTTCTCTCTGGTGGAGGGAAAGGGAAAACTTTCCCTTATGGAAGTCCCTGATACCCAACCCTTTTCCTCAGTTCACTATCTATAGGTACAGAAAAGGGATGTGGCCACTCTGTAGTTTCAGGGACTAGAAGACAGAGGTATTTAAATGAAGAGTTCATTTTTCTGTCTGGAACTACCCTGGAAATGATGAATCTCTTAAAATATATTAGGTTGAACCAGATGAAATAGTCAGTATTTGGCTATTTGATATTTTTGACCTTGCCAAAACATGAATTTCATCTGTTTCAACCTCATGTATTTGTACTTTGCAGAAGCCTGTGCTATGAACGTGTATTTTTTTTTCTGGCGGCTCTGATTTTACTTTCCAGTCATAGACATCCCTTGTGAAAGACAGAGAATAACCTGAAGTAGGACAGTTCATCTTTTTTTTCCCCTTTACCCAGAAAGATGCATAGATGGAACAATGTATTAGTGTTAATAACATCAGAGTTTCTTTTTTTTTTTTTGGGGGGGACAGAGTCTTACTCTGTCACCCAGGCTAGAGTGCAGTGGCGCGATGTTGGTTCATTGCAACCTCCACCTCCTGGATTTAAGCAATTCTCATGCCTCAGCCTCCCAAGTAGCTGGGATCACAGGTGCACACCACCATGCCAGGCTAGTTTTTGTATTTTTAGTAGAGACAGGGTTTTAACAATGTTGGCCAGGTTGGTTTTGAACTCCAGATCTCAAGTGATCCTCCCGCCTTGGCCTCCCAAAGTGTTGGGATTACAGGCGTGAGCCACTGTGCCTGGCCAGCATCAGGGTTTCTTGTGTGCATTTCTAAGCAGAAGCATGTTAATGGAAAAGTATATCTGAGTACAGCTCACAATACAAATTAAATGCATGGGAAGAAAGTGTTTTATGTTACCAATTGAATGTTTGCATCTCTGATAACATGTAATGTGAAATGAGGCTGTTATTTACTATGTTAAATTTATAGGTCCCAGATAGCCGGTTTCCTTTCCTAGGAGTTCACTTCACACCAAGGATGGATGGCAGTATTTGGCTAGGTCCTAATGCAGTTCTTGCCTTTAAACGAGAGGGTTACAGACCCTTTGACTTCAGTGCCACAGATGTTATGGATATAATTATTAATAGGTAATGTTATTTATTCTTAAAAATGATTTTATGTGCTTATATTTTCAGTGTGGGAAGTTTTGTCTTTCTTGATATTCTACTTATTGGGTAAATCCCCATTTTTGTGATTGGTATATTGAATTTTGTATTAATTCAAATTAAAAGTTTTAGAGTGGATGGAGTCACCAAAAAAAAAAAAAAAAGAGCTTTGTGGAATAAGCATAACATTTTAACTATTTCAAGAAAATTCTGATGAGCCAGGGTAATGTCTTGGTTAAAAAGAAGATAAGACCGGCCAGGCATGGTGGTTCACACCTGTAATCCCAGCACTTTGGGAGGCCAAGGCAGGTGGATCACGAGGTTAGGAGACCAAGACCATCCTGGCTAACACGGTGAAACCCTGTCTCTACTAAAAATACAAAAAATTAGCCAGGCATGGTGGCAGGCGCCTGTAGTCCTAGCTTCTTGGGATGCTGAGACAGGAGAATGGCATGAACCCAGGGGACGGAGCTTGCAGTGAGCTGAAATCACTGCCTCTGCACTCCAGCTTGGGCGACAGAGCAAGACTCTGTCTCAATCAATCAATCAATCAATCAATAAAAAATCAAAAAATGAAAAGAAGATAAGGCCAAGAGTCATTCATATATCTGGCAATCTAAATCTTGTATTGCTAACTTTCCAGTTTTATTTGGGGGTGGAAAATAGATTCTCTCAAAATCAGTAGACGGCTATTTTAATAAAATCACTTTGAGCCAATCTCCATCATTTTGTAAGCCACTGGAGAAATTACTGATGACCAAAGTAATTTCCTTGTGTAGGAAACTAACAATACAATTGTGTTGACCTAAGATACAGATTCTTTACTATTGTAAGAAATAACTGAATTAGGTGTTTTGTTTGAATTAGGTATTTTGTTTGGTCCTTTTAGCAATGTTTCTCTCTAAAGGGTTTCACATGAAAATTACTAGATTTTCATGTTTAAATCACTAGATTTAAAGCTATACTTGAGTTTCACCCTCCATGGATTCTGAAACAGAAAGTTTAGGATGGAGCTTCCTGGCATGTGTACTTGTAAAAATATATACATATATGCATCTAGGCTTTGCAGAGTCTCTTGAAAATCATAACTAAAGGTTTTTTTGTTTTGTAATTTTGAGACAGGGTCTTACTTTGTCACTCGCTGCAGCCTCAACCTCCTGGGATCGATCAGTTCTCCCACTTCACCATCCAAGTAGCTGGAACTACAGGCAGATGCTACCATGCCCAGATAATTTTTGTGTTTTCTGTAGAGACAGGGTTTGCCACGTTACACAGGCTGATCTTGAACTCCTGGGTTCAAGCAATCCACCTGCCTTGGCCTCCCAAAGTGCTGGGATTATAGACATGAGCCACCACACCCTGCCTCAACAACTAAAGTATTTTACCTCTGGCTGACTAAGGAAAACTAGGGTAGATGTCCCATTTCTTTCATACACTGCCTTTTAGGTGTGTTGAAGGCATGTAATATTTGCATTAGAGAGCCTTGATATTGGCAGGCTTTATAGAGTTCTAGTTTGAAACCCCTCCTTGGGAATTTGAGTTTAGAAGGTGTTTACCTCTGTATTTTTTTTTTTTTTGAGTCAAAGTCTCACTGTTGCCCAGGCTGAAGTGCAGTGGCACAATCATTGGCTACTGCAGCCTCAAACTCCTGGGCTTAAACGAGCCTCCCATGTCAGCCTCCCTAGTAGCTGGAACTACAAGCACACACCACCATGCCCAGCTCTGTTTACCTCCTGAGCTGATGAGGTTTGCTTCTTATATTGGCCAAAAGTTGATTTTCATTGATCGATCGATTGATTGAGAGAGGGTCTCTCTGTGTTGCCCAGGCTGGAGTGCAGTGGCACGATCTCAGCTCACTGCAACCTCTTCCTCCCAGGTTCAAGCAATTCTCCTGCCTCAGCCTCTTGATTAGCTGGGATTACAGGCGTGCACCACCATGCCTGGCTAATTTTTGTATTTTTGGTAGAGACAGGGTTTTGCCATGTTGGCCAGGCTGGTTTCGAACTCATGACCTCAAGTGATCTGCCTGCCTTGACCTCCCAAAGTGTCGGGATTACAGGCGTGAGCCACCACTCCTTGCCTTGATTTTCTTTTAATCTGTAGTTTTTCTGACTTTGCCTAGATTTTTGTGATGACATAAAAAAAAGAATCTAATAATTGTAAAGGTATTTTAGAGTAATAAAGAATTCCTTTGTCTCATAAAGATTTGTTTTGCTTTGTTTTCAGTGGCTTGATTAAACTGGCATCCCAGAATTTTTCCTATGGAGTTACTGAAATGTATAAAGCGTGTTTTCTTGGTGCAACAGTGAAGTATCTTCAAAAATTCATCCCTGAAATTACTGTCAGTGATATACTTAGGTAAGGAAAAGTGATAAGGAGTGTAAATACAGTCCTGACCTGTGTGAACTTGGGGGTGGGTCTGACTTGGTGATTAGTAAGCACCATTTCAGAGCCAGTCTGCATTGCACTGAATTTTCGTTTGCTCTCTTTCCCAACATGTTGTTGAATTCCCTTTGCAGTGCATTTATTGGTCATTGCTACATCATGGCCCTTAGTGCCGGTCCATTTATAATTATCTAGACTCCCTTACAACTCTAATCTGAAATCTCCATGACAGCTTTATTGTGATGCTACCTTAGCCTTTTTGTCTAGCTATCACTTATGACAAAAACAACTTGCCTGAATTTTTAAAAATCTCTCTGGCCAGTTACTCTTGTGATTCCAAAGTCTTTTGGCTTTAATTTTATATAAGATTATTGATCAGTGTGTTAACCAATTAGGTAATAAGCACGTTAAAACATTGTATTTTGATTGATTCTTAAAACTTAAAAAACTTTTAGGTTTGGGGGTACATGTGAAGGTTTCTACATAGGTAAACACATGTCATGGGGCTTATTGTACATATTATTTTATCACCCAAATATTAAGCCCCGTACCCAATAGTTATCTTTTCTGCTTCTCTCCCTCCTCCCTCCCTCCCCACTTAAGTAGACTGCAGTGTCTGTTGTTTCCTTCTTTGTGTTCATGTGTTCTCATCATTTAGCTCCTACTTGTGAGTGAGAACACGTGGTATTTGGTTTTCTGTTCCTGTGTTAATTTGCTAAGGATAATAGCCTCCAACACCATTAAAACCTGTTAGAAACACACTCCTAGACCTGGCATCTCACCTTGCTTCTTCTCTACTTCTTTTGTTCTTTCTTGGGCCTTATTGTACTCAGGGACTCTACTTTGAGGATAGAAGTGGAAAGCAGCATGGTAACAATCAGAGTCCTTGCTACAAGGGTATGGGGCAAAGTAAGAACAACTTACATCTTTTTTTTTTTTTTTTTTGAAATGGAGTTTCGCTCTTGTTGTCCAGGCTGGAGTGCAATGGCACCATCTCAGCTCACTGCAACCTCTGCTTCCTGGGTTAAAGCGATTCCCCTGCCTCAGCCCCCTGAGTACCTGGGATTACAGGCATGCGCCACCATGCCCGGCTAATTTGTATTTTTAGTAGAGACGGGGTTTCTCCTGTTAGCCAGGCTGGTCTTGAACTCCGGACCTCAGGTGATCCACATGCTTCAGTCTCCCAAAATGCTGGGATTACAGGCGTGGGCCACCACACCCGGCCACATCTTTTATTCTTAAAGATAAAAGACTTTTCGTATGGCGGCTCACACCTGTGAGGTGGGTGGATCACCTGAGGTCAGGAGTTTAAGACCAGCCTGGCCAAAATGGAGAAACCTCGTCTCTACTAAAAATACAAAATTAGCCAGGCATGGTGGCACATGCCTGTAATCACAGCTATTTGGGAGGCTGAGGCAGGAGAATCGCTTGAACCTGGGAGGTGGAGGTTGCAGTGAGCTGAGATCACGCCATTGCACTCCAACCTGGACAACAAGAGCAAAACTCCGTCACACACACACACACACACACACACACACACACAAAGATAAAAAATTTTCTAGACTTGATCTGTAGATTATTCTTAATACTACACAAACCTATTTTTTTTCCTTCTTTGGTAATGCGTTTAGTGTTCACCTTTTTTCCTGAGCAAGCCATTTGTTAGGCCTAATCAGCAGTGTACTTTGAGGTACTCTCACCCTGCATTTACAGTCCATCCCTCCATGAATCTTCTGAGCACTAGATATCTGCTTTCTCTGTAACAGCTGCTGAACTAGCCTGGTAAAAAATGTCAGCAGACTTGACTGTGTATCTGTGAAGAGAGCAATAATCATGTCAGCTGTCTCCCTTAGGGGAGCGTCCTGGTTTAAATCTGACTCTAAATGTACCATTCTGAGACCAGCATGTTTGAATCCTTAGAAGAACTATTAAAACTCAGCTAATGTTTTTACTCTTATCTCTTTCACTCCTCTACTTACCTTCTGAAATAGAAGGAATAAAAATATGTAGCCATTATTTTCTTTCACTCACTTATACATAAGGGCTTTTATGTTTTCGGTGATCTGCTTTAGCAAACTTGTGATGTTTTATATCTGAAAATAGACTGGTCAAATCTGGTTTCTATTACTGCTATTAATATTCCTTGGAAAGCAAATGAAGTGAGCATAGTGAATTCTGTGTAAAAATAGTTGCAGTGAATTCACTGCCTGTATTCAGTTACCACCCTTTCATAGAAGCCTGAGGAAAACTTTTTAGACCACTGGATTTCATATGGTAGAACTGGACTTTGGGCTTGTGGATATTAGTGAACTCTCCTGTCTTTGGCTGTACGGGTGTGAATTTCAGTTACCAGTTTCTTTGGCATGTTGTGGAAACGGGCACAGCACTGTAGGCAGGTGCATTTGGGGACAAATTCAACCCAATCACAGATTTCTCTCTTTAAAGAGAGAAAAACTGACTAATTCAGCAATTACTTTCGCTTCGTCTCTTGATTCCTATAGTTATTAAGTGCAGGAAATTATTAATAACAAATAGGAAGTTGTAGAAGATACGTTTTTGGGTTTCTCGGGGGAAGATATGTTTGATACCATTTGTATAAGTTTTAAAACAAGTATAGCAGGCCGGGCGCGGTGGCTCAAGCCTGTAATCCCAGCACTTTGGGAGGTCGAGACGGGCAGATCACGAGGTCAGGAGATCGAGACCATCCTGGCTAACACGGTGAAACCCCGTCTCTACTAAAAAATACAAAAAACTAGCCGGGCGCGGTGGCGGGCGCCTGTAGTCCCAATTACTCGGGAGGCTGAGGCAGGAGAATGGTGTGAACCCGGGAGGCGGAGCTTGCAGTGAGCTGAGATCGGGCCACTGCACTCCAGCCTGGGCGGCAGAGCGAGACTCCGTCTCAAAAAAAAAAAAAAAAAAAAAAAAGTATAGCAAAACCATATATTACTTACAGATTACACATGTAGTATGAAAATAAAAACGAGCAGAGGAGTGATAAACACCTAATTCAGGAGAGTGATTACCTCTGGGGAGGGAAGAGAATGGGATCTTGAGAGTTCTACAGAGGCTTCTATCATATTGGTAATGCTTTATTTCTTAAGCTGTTTGAGAAGAAACTGGATATTCATTGTGTTATTCTCTGTTCCTTATTATAACCTGAAATATTAAATAATAAAAATAAGATCAATAGACTTTTTTTTTTTTTTTTTTTTTTGACACAGAGTCTCGCTCTGTTGCTGGGCTAGAGTGCAGAGGTGTGATCTCAGCTTAGTGCAACCTCCGACTCACTGGTTCAAGCTATTCTCCTGCCTCAGCCTCCTGAGTAGCTGGGATTACAGGCACGCGGCATGACACCCAACTAATTTTTGTGGTTTTGTTTGTTTGTTTGTTTTTTGATTTTTCAGATGGAGTCTTGCTCTGTCACCCAGGCTGGAGTGCAGTGGCGCAATCTCGGCTCACTGCAAGCTCGGCCTCCCGGGTTCACCCCATTCTCCTGCCTCAGCCTCCCGAGTAGCTGGGACTACAGGCACCCACCACTACGCCCAGATAATTTTTTGTATTTTTAGTAGAGACGGGGTTTCATCGTGTTAGCCAGGATGGTCTTGATCTCCTGACCTCGTGATCCGCCCGCCTCGGCCTCCCCAAGTGCTGGGATAATTTTTGTATTTTTAATAGAGATGGTTTCATCAAGAGCCAGGATGGTCTCAATCTCCTGACCTCGTGATCCTCCTGCCTCGGCCTCCCAAAGTGCTGGGATTACAGCAGTGAGCCAATGCGCCTGGCCAAGATCAAGACTTTTCCACAGCTTGAAGCCTAAGTCTTGCCTTGTCTCATTTGTCTTGCAACCAGTATACTAAACCATAAATGCCCTTAGTATTGCAGTGAAAGCACATCAGGCAGTAGTAGATAGTAAAAGATAGTTGAAGCAACACTTTCAGTGGGGTGTGTTTCCCAGGATGGTGTCCTTAAATTTCAGTAACTACTAAAGGGCACCCAGGTTGACTTCTCATTGCTTAGCCAGAGCATTTTGGGCAATAATTTACTGGTGAACATTAGATTGGAATATAAAGTTATGATCTGTTAAATATTTGCATTAGATAAACTTCTCATTTGTAAAAGAGTCTCTGAGACTCTTAATGTTAGCTCTAGGCCAGGCACAGTGGCTCGTGCCTGTAATCCTAGTGCTTTGGGAGGCTGAGGTGGGAGGATCACTTGAGCCCAGGAGTTTGAGACTAGCCTGGGCAATATAGTGAGACGCCATCTCTACCATTTTTTTTTTTTAATTAGCCGGGCGGGTGGTGCACGCCTTTAGTTGTAGCTGCTAGAGAGGCTTAAGTGGGAAGATCCCTTGAGCCCAGGAGGCTGAAGTTACAGTTAGCCATATTGCACCACTGTCCTCCAGCCTAGGGGAGAGAACAAGACCCTGTCTCGAAAAAAAAAATGTGTGTGTGTGTATATATATAGCTCTAAACTTTAAAAATTTGTTCTGTAATTAATTTTGACATGTTAATCTTAACAGCAGTTTGTATCTGTTAGCACCGTATAGATGTAAAAGACGAAGACATATATGTTACAATTTCCCCTTTTTCAATTTGGAAAATGTCTCCTATGGGGAATTCTAGAGTAAACTTTCAGGCAAGATATTTTCATAGCAAGTGATAACTAGACTGTGTGAAACACAAAGGTGCAAAACTCAAACATTTCTACAATAAAGTTGTAATGGCTTATGGTGGTCTAGATTAGGGTTTCTCAGTCTTGATGCTATTGACATATTGAGCCAAATAATATTTATTGTGGAGGACTGTCCAGTTCATTGTATAATTTTTTGTATTTTTTTTTTAGACGGAGTCTCACATTGTTACCTGGGCTGTAGTGCAGTGGCGCCATCTCGACTCACTGCAACCTCCGCCTCCCGGGTTCAAACGATTCTCCTGACTTAGCCACCTGAGTAGCTGGGATTACAGGCACCTGCC